TGTTTGTATGTAGAGCTGTATTATGTATCATAATCTCTAAGAACAACAAATCTTTACTGAGAATTTCATTTAATTTATTTGTAGGTGTCCCCAGTGGCAGTGGTACCACAGCAATCCAGTGATGATCCTGAACTGAGTCTCCAACTAGCAAGGATTGAATTGGAGAATGAAAGACACAAGAGAGAGCTTAAAGACAAGGAGAAACAAATAAAAGATTATGAAGAGGAAATTATTCTACTCAAAACACAAATGAGTAGAAGTAAAGGAGGAGGAGGAAGAGGAAGAGGTTTACATGTAGTAGTAGACCAATCAGCTACACTAACACATACTGTACAACTGGAGAAGGAGAAGGAGGAGCTAGTGAAAGAGAAAGAGGAACTAACGAAAGAGAAAGAGGAACTAACGAAAGAGAAGGAGGAGCTATTAAAGGGTAAGGAGAAGCTAACAAAAGAAAAGGAGGTGCTGGAACAAAAACTGACTGTAGAGAATGAAGAGTGGAAAAAGGAACTACTTGCAAAAAATGAAGAGATGGAGCAAGAAAGGAAGCGACTAAAGAAGGAAACTGAGGTTACAGTGGCTGAGGAAAAAAATCAACTGAAAGAGAAGCTAACAAGAGAAAAGGAGGCACTGGAAAAGGAGCTTAATGAAGAAAAGGAGGAGCTTAAGAAAGAAAACTTAGAAAAGGAGAAGCTGATAAAAGAAAAAGAAGCGGCTAAGGAGGCACTTACAAATGAGAAGGAGGAGCTATTGAAGGAGAAGGTTGCACTACAGGAGAAGCTTGATAAAGATGAAGATAGAATTACCGAATTGACGCAATTACTGGAGAAGGAAGAGGAAGAAAAGAGGAAAGCAGTGGAACATACGGCTGAGTTGGAAGAGAAGTATACCAAAGAGCTGGAGGGAATTAAACAACAGCTAAACACAGAAATAGCTAAGAACCAGCTGGAGATGAACTATCATGAAAAATATGAGGCCCAAGAAAAGCAATACAAAAAAGAAATGGATAAAAAAGTGGAACAGCTTCTTGAGGGGACAGCAGAGGAGAAAAAAAAGGATGAAGCAGTATTGAAAGAAATGGAAGAATTAAAGAATCAAGTCAAAATGAGAACACAGGAAATTGAAACACTGGAGAAAAATCTTAAAGCTCAGTTGGAGGAAAAAAGTATTGCTTATATTAAGTTAGAGGAAGATTTTGAAAAGAAAGTGAGTGAGAGAGTCAGAGAAGCAGTTGATCAACATATGCGTAATGAACGAAAGCCTCAAGTAGCTGCCTTTGGAGCTCGTATAGAAGGGAGCGAAATTCAACTGAAGGCACAATATGAAGCTAGAGAGAAGCAACTTCAAAATGAGCTTGAAGAATTGAGCAAAAAATTGAAACAAAAAGAAGATGATGAGAATAATTTACGAGGTGAACTAGCTATTTTACAAGAGAAGGTGAGGCTAAACCCTCTAAAATAGATTGTATAATATAACACGTGTAGGTTGAAGCTGGTGATGGCGCTTCTGCTAATAATAGTTTATCAGAAGAAGATAAGATGAAAAAAGAGCTTGAAACCAGAGTGAGAGAGCTTGAGGATCAAATGGCTAAAGTCGAAGGTGACAAAAGGCTACTAGTGAAAGCCCAAGAAACACTTCAAAATAATTTGAGAGTAGCTGAAGTCCAATTAAAAGTGAGTTGTGTATGCTGAAATTCCTCGCCCCAAAACTACTCCCCAATTTTGATCAAAATCCAATATCATTCTATGATTTTACCAATTTTTAACCCAGAAAAAATCCTGTGTATCAAACACTTAATTTAAAATGAATTGGACGTGTAATATAATTTTCACTGATGTTTTGTGAAATGGTTACTATTATAATTTATTAGGATAGAGATAAAACTATTCAAAATTTAACAGGGGACCTTGAATATTGCAAAGTAATTAATCTAACTTGTGTACCATCATTATAACTACTAATAAAGGCACTAAACAAAGAATCAGAAAAATTGAAAGATACACTAAAGCACCTTGAAGAAGTAATTATTATGTTAGCTTGTTATGATTTTGCTTTTAGGAAATGGCTAGCACAAAAAAAACTGTTGAAGAATTAAGTGGTGAACTGAGTAATAAATTGCAAGAAACTGAAGAGTTGAATGACTCGTTGGAAGAAAAGGAGCAAGAGATAGTGAGGTTAACCACAACAGCTCAATTAGCTTCAAAAGAGAAGGAACAAACCGTAAGGCAACTAAGAGAACAGCTTGATGAGGCTGTAAAGAAATTCAACAAACAAAAACTACAACTTAAAGAATTAGTGGAGAAAATGCAAGCAAAGGAAGCAGAGGTTTGTCATTGTTAATAATTTATTAATATTAATCATCATTATTATTAGAATGCAATTTACAAACAAGACTTTGAAACTGAAAGGAATGACAGGCAAAGAATACATGAAGAATATGAGGAACTGAAAACAAAAGCTGAAGAAGCAAGGAAACAAAATAAAATTGATAAAGAAGCACTGGCTAACCTAGGGGAGGTATTACATTATGACTGTAACAATTCAGTTATATGTACATGATAGGTAATAAAAGCTCAAGATGAAGAGATACGAGTTCTGAAAACACAGCTTAATGCTTACAGTCGTAAAAATGATCAGAATCAAGACGAAGAAATTCAAATACTTACTGCTCAAGTCAATGCTTACAGTCGGGAGGTGGACAAACAAAAAGGTCTCTTGACCCAGAGTCAAGAGAAACATAAAAATGAGGTATGTACATGCACTATATATATTACCAAGAGTCATTGTAATTTTTGAACCAAATGAAAATTATTTTGATTGGAATCAGTTCAAACTTGATATACCGTAGGTCGGGTTATACCGTAGGTCGGGTTATATTCGCGGCTGCTAATATTCGCGATTTTTTCCCGCGGCTAGCAATTGCCATAGCAACTAGATGCTATTTTAATTGAAAACGGCGCGTTATTGAAGCATAGCACTCAATTGCATTGTTCTTGAGTTGTTATTCTTCTTGCTGTTACTATTCCCTGGACTCTTTGAAGTTGCTTTAGCCAGTTCTTTTCAGAAATACTCTACTCGCTCTGCCTCGCC